CCCCCGGTTTCAGGTCCGGGCGGGTGAGATTAAACTACACCGGGTGTTCTCGAAACGCGTTTCTTATATATGCAAATTAATATTCTACATACCACGGCGAAATGTTACTCGGTGCAACGGGTATTGATGTACAGGGTGTTACGTAGAGTAAAACACCTCGACGCTGTGACTTCCATCTAACGTTAATAAAAGGGATCTGAAGTACGAAAGTCTGCATCAATTAATACTTCAATAATGGTATGTTAGGCTATGTATTAGGTTACGTCTCCTTTCATCACATTTATTATGTGAATAAATATATATAATAGATACATACTAAAGTCTATCAGGAATTTCAATTAAGTGATTTGGCCGGAAAACTACGTTGGTATTAAGATTGACACCGGGCGCTACTTCTTAACTTAAACTGTTGACGAACGAAAGTCTGACTTTGTATTCCTCGGGGAGGGTGCGGGGAAACTCGTCTATAAACCAAATTTTGTTCTTGTGGGGAGGGGCTCCTTGTTTTCATCTAAAGTAACAGACAAAGAATCAGCACTTTTGAAACAGGGCTGAAACAGAGGGGATTATGGGTAATGCTGCAATGATCTGTTTGATATTTGGAGCCAAACACTTCAGAGACATGTTTGTATATCTGAGAGCTATACTATATTGATGAAAAACAGTAAAATAGGGGACCTTTAATATCTCTTAACACTTGTTGTTGCCTCTCTCCCTGTAGGTGTTTCTGTCAGTGGGGGACAGCTTCACTGCAGAGCTCACTGATGTCAGACTGGTCGGACCCCTCCTCGGACCTCCGCCCCTTCTCCTTCATGAGGCCACCGTCGCTACCATGACTGTCCCAGAGGAAGCTGCCAGCTCAGATGTAAGTTGTTGTTTGTTTGTTGATATAAACAGTATCTGTGAGGGAAACACTTTTTGTATTTGTCCCTTTGCAGATGCAAGGCTTGCTCAAACACATTGTATTAGGGTGTCGGTCTCCTCAGGGATGTACTCATATCGTCACTTATCTCTGCTGGAGATATACATCTATAAAATATAGATAAACATCTGGTTATTAAAACATTATACCTGATAACTTTCTCAATGAGCAACCGGATATTATTTCATACTGATATTGTTAATCCCATTATTGTATTCATTGTTCTCATCTCTTGAATTATATGTATCTGCACCTCAGTGCTGTAAGAGACATCATCTATCACTGACAGTGTTTAATTGGAGCTAACAGTAATATTAACTGTCTTCTCTCACATGTGTTGTGCAGGTTGGCTTCGCCTCCTTGGCTCTGCAGGTATCAAATATAGAAACAGGGACGTGTGAAGCAAAGGTGACACGGACGGGTCTGTTTGGAGACATCAGGGTGGAGTGGACAGCGGGGTTTCCTGCAGGACAGACCCCACCCGGGCTCAGAGTGGGAGCTATCACCCCAAGCTCCGGTAAAACACCCTCAGACAGAAGTCGTTGCCTTCTTAAACTCAAACATAAGGTTTCATTTTGTGTAAATTACCTCTATCGACCATAACGTGTACCCAGATGTCTTTTCATTTGATATATCATTCATGTTATCAAGTGAGCCAATCTGAGCTTTCATCTCTGATACGAGGAAAAGCACTTAGAGCACTTGCAATCACGCTGATGTCAAACATTAACATGCACTAACGACAGATGCTTTTATAGTGTTGGTAATGTGCTCCTTTCCTCATATTCAGGCTCAGTGACCCTGGCCCATGGAGAGAAGACTCAGTCCATTTCTCTGACGGCTGTTGATGATGCGTCTGAACCCGCTTCCTACGCTCTCCACCTGAGCGCTGCCTCCAGCCCCGCCGCAGGGGGTCCTGTCCGGCTCAGGTAACGGCTTCACAGTGGTATAAAGTTCTGATGGCGTTAATACATGTTATGATTTAAAAATGCAGTGGGACTCGAACTTGTTACCCCCTGATTCGAAGTCCAGCACTCTATCCACTTAGTCACAGCCGCCCGTTCAATTAAAAATGTTTTACATATTGCTTTGTCTATATATATACCGTGCTCAAACTTGAACTAAACCCAAACCAATTTCCTAAAGTTTAAATGTAAATCACATAATTGTCTTTATTAATGTATCCTCACGCTGAGATCCCTCTCCCTGCACAGGTCAGGGTTTACCGTAGCAGAAGTGGAGCCGTTGGGGATCTACCAGTTTGCTCCTGATTCCCGGCAGCTGGTGATCGCAGAGGACATCCAGACTATAACGCTTTACGTTCAGAGGCTGTACGGCTCTCGCAGCAACCGCACCGGCCTGTCCTACTCAACAGTCTCAGGCAGCGCGGCAGCAGGACAGGACTTCATCGCAGTGCCAGACGGACGATTAGTCTTTGACTCGCCTCGACAAACCAACTGCTCCTTCAGCCTCTCCATTCTGGACGACTCCCTAACAGAGGCCGACGAGCACTTCCAAGTTAATTTAACAGATGTTCAAGTCCTGAATCCAGACTTGTCTTGGGCGGATTCCTCTCCTCGCCTTAATACTCGTCACAGTGTGGCCTCCGTCACCATCCTAGCCAGCGATGTGACCGGAGGAGTGCTGAGTATTGGACCCGGGCTGGTGCAGACCCCTGAGGACCGGGAGGAGGGGACGCAGCAGGAGAGAAGGGTGGTGCTGAGGGTGAGGAGGTCCGACAGCCTCGCCCAGGATGTGAGGGTCCGGGTCCAAGCATACGGAGGTGAGTGTTTGTCAACCTCAGGAGCAGTGAGTGACCACACACACACACACACACACACACACACACACACACACACACACACACACACACACACACATTTTTTATTTGTACGTTGTTGGCATATACAGTATGCTTTGTGTTTTGCTGTTGTGCCACATGTATTGTTGACATTTACGTTTAGTGTTTCTTTTTGTTTTTGTTGAAGCAAAAATAATACCAGTTTAAAATGTCTAAAAAAAAGATTATTAAATAAAAATAGAGTTAAAATGTTTACAAAGAATCTCAATAAAAATGTAAACTTTGAAATTGATTTTATACAAAAAAAATTAGATTTTCAGTTTTTGTAGGCATTAATCGAACTCATATTCATAGCCTATACAACACCACGAAACCTGTCAAAATAAAATATAAATGCAGTTATATACAGGACTGTCTCAGAAAATTAGAATATTGTGATAAAGTTCTTTATTTTCTGTAATGCAATTAAAAAAACAAAAATGTCATACATTCTGGATTCATTACAAATCAACTGAAATATTGCAAGCCTTTTATTATTTTAATATTGCTGATTATGGCATACAGCTTAATTTCTTAAGCTGTATGCCATAATCAGCAATATTAAAATAATAAAAGGCTTGCAATATTTCAGTTGATTTGTAATGAATCCAGAATGTATGACATTTTTGTTTTTNACTAAAAATAACCTATATTGATTCTGACTTTTCTACATCCAACTCACAGGTTTATCATTGCTTTGAGAAAAAAGATTATTAATTTACCCCTTTTTAGAAGTGTAATTTGTTCTGGGAATGTCATTTTCGAGCCTGAGACCTGGAAAACAGGCTCGGGGCTGAACAGGTTTGTAATATAGCCCAACTAAATCAATGAGATAATTCAGGTTAGGGGTTTCACAACTACCAATATTTACTAGTCGACTAGTTTTTCAAAATAGTAGTCGACTAGTCGTTACGTCATAATAAAGACACACAAAGAGAGGTTTACAACTGTATTTTCTATTGGAACTCACACAGTAACATTAAAAACACTGCATTTTAATTTGTGTTACATGGCTGAGTAAATAACAAACACTGGACCCACCAAAATCGACAGCAAAAAACTCTTGTTTACATAAATGCCACGTAAATCCAGTGCGCAACAGCGCATTGCGCAACACTTTATTCGCTGTCCTCCACGATAACGTCCACCTTTCCATATTTTTGGTTTGAACACCAACGCATCGACATGTGAGGGAAGGAGGCTTGACCGCTTTCGGGTGACAGTGTTGCCTGCCAGGGAAAAAACCCTCACTCGGGGTGCTTGGCTGGAATAGCCAGGTACCTCCTCGAAAGCGGGGGAAGCGGTGCACGTTTTCTGCCCACC